ATATAGGGGGTAAGAGGGGCTATCAGCCTCTTACAACCACCTACCAATCAGCAATCGTAAGGTCAGGAGAAAATCAAATATGTTTGAAATTCAGTCGGTGGTGGTTGTGCGCAAATCCTGCTGTTGAAGCAGAGCTACGAGCAGATTTACCAGAACTTTGAGCACTGCGCATGTGCAAACGAGAGTTCTTCTTATTCTTCTTCCAGATTGACGAGTTCGACTAGTCCCATCCCTCGGTGCTGAGTCCGACAGGTGGTTTTTGGATTGTGAGCAGGTAGTTGCATCAGAGCATTGTGTCACACAGTGTGAGAACATACATCGTGAACTGTGATCTTTTAAACCCTGCGGTTTCGTCGTACAGTTTGAGTTGTAGCTGCGTGCAGCGATTGAAAATATCTCATAGTGAATGCCCGGCTTTAGACAGCTCAGGATGTCGGTGCACTTCCCATCATCTCCTTCATTCGGGAGTCAGAGCAGATAAATAAGACATAACACTGCAAAAACACTGTAAAAATTTCTATTTACTTTGTATATATATTTATTTGTATTTGTACAAATAAAAACATATATAATATATATGTTTTTACATATACATTTACATATGTGTACTGATTCTGAGTCCGGTTCTGCTGGAGGTTTCTTCCTGTTAAAAGGGAGTTTTTCCTCCCCACTGTCGCTACAAGCATGCTTAGTGCGAGGGATTGCATCAGAGTCAATGAGTCGATGCAATTAACTGGTTTTTCTTAGAAAACTTTTAATCAAATCGACTGTATGATCTGGTGAACTGTAAATAGAAATAAACTGAATTGAAATAATATGTTTGAGTAGATAAATAAGACGATTTGCTAATTGAATTAGTTTTTTTACTCATAAAATAAGATAATCAGATAATATACACTTGAAATAAGACAATGTAATTGCTTTTCTTATTTTGAAGTGTCTAAGTAACCTCATTTGAAGAAAAAAGGACTTATATAAATTTCCATATTTGGCAGTGCAGACTGTCTAACAACCGTAACTGCAAAGTGGAAACAAACTTGTCATGACCATTTCTTTCGCAAAATCAAAAGTTACAGTATGTAAGAATAATTTAAATTACAGTGTAGTGATCATAATGGGAGACTGAGCAGATGGTAAATAACATTTAACCAATAACCTTTGATTACAAAAAAGAAGAAAGTGTGTCGCTTTTATTTGTTTAAAACAGGTGTGTTTTCATTAAGTGACGTCTCTCATAATGGATAGATTAGCTGGAAATTTTACTAAAGTAAGAAGAGTGATACTATCGTATTATAAATTAGGTAATAGTTAAAAGTACAAAACAGTAAAATGACTCCTAAAATTTTTTTTTTTTTTTTTTTGACGGTAAATGAGTCAGTGTAACTAGTTACTACCCACCTCTGTTTCTGATGCAATAATCCTGAGTTGTTTTCCTCATGGAAGTGTGAAAAACAGTGCATGGCCGACTGCTGCTGCGGTGTAGTAGGTAACTCTTTTAGTATGAATCATTCATGTTTATCAGAGTATATGTTAAGACTGATTTGCAACTTTTGACTCATTAGAATGAGCGCAGCATTACACAATTTGTTTTTTAAAGCTTTTTTATTTTGCTATTTTATTGATATATTTTATTCTCTAAGCATTGAAGGAGTATTCACAGAGAAATTAAGCCCGGGAAAAAAGAAAAAACTTGTTCTTAAAGGTTGCACCCCTGAAACTTTAATCTGTTTCTGCAGACGGGTCTGTTAACGTTATTATATACCGTTGGATAACAGAAATTTGCTCTGGTTTATGTATGAATGCAGCAAAAACAGTGAGAGACAACACAGATAGAAGAACAGGCCAGAATGAAGAGACAGAGGTGGAACAAAATCTGGTAAAAATGGTGATTCAATAGTTCTTTATACACAACGTCTTTGCATGTTTCCGGATCCTGCAACTACGGTATTAAACTTTTTCTGCACAAGACATCCAGACTCAGGTCTACTTCTTAGTTAAATAATCTCAGAAAATAACATTTCTCTGAAAAATTCAGTTGTAAAAATTAATTTAATATGCAGTAAATCTTAACAAATAGGTGGAATGCAGCAATAACTTCTTACTTTTTCTGCTGTACTAAGTCTCCTGCATCCTTAGAAATATTTTGTGGGCTAAGCCCCTGATTATGAAAATGTCTAACCCCCCCAACCCCACCGGTCTCAAGTGCAAAATTAATTAAAAAAAAAAAAGAAGAAGAAGAATGGTTCAAATGTGATAAGAAATGAGCATAAACCAGTGTTCACGGCTTAAAGGCAGCATCTGAGGTGTGGGTTGGAAAGGAAAAATATGTGATACAGATTAAATATTTTTTTATGATGAAAATAAGTCAAACAGAAACAGACTGGGTGGAGATACTGAATTCCTTTTTCCATCAGCGATCTGTGAGCCAACAGGGGGTGTCCCTCTTCTACATGATGAAACTCAAGGTTACACACAAACACACACACATGCCTGTGAACCTGCAGCTCGAATTACTGCTTTAATCATTTTCTACCTTCCTCTCAACCACAAACCCTTCTGCAGCAGACAACTGCCTGCAAATAACTGTGAGAATAACTGAAACCAACTTTTTAAACTTTTCATTGTCATTTCTATTGCAATTAAAGGACAAATTATTATTTGTTTCCTTTTCTTATGTGCCGAACTTTTTTTTATTTTTTATTATTTGCTCTGATCAGGAACTTCTGATTAGTTTCATTGGTTTTAATGTAACACATCAGGCTGCAGAGGCTTAGCTGATCCTGATATTTTCACAGAGATTTTGCCATAATATGACCATGAAACTTCAATCAAGTCTCTAATTAACACATTAATCTTCTGTTTCATTTAATTCTGTAAATGATACAGAATTTTCAAGTATAAAAGAGACATCTGAAAAGTGTGGAGTGCTTTTGAATTCAGACAAAGATTGTTCTGACACTCCTAAAACTCATCAATAGAGAAAAATAGAGCTAGTTAGAGTTATTGGGAAGATAAGGCTACATAAGGGCACAACCTGCTTAATGCTCCAAAACACTGGAATATGGTGGAGGTTCATGTTTCACACCACACACTACGATTTGACGAGTGTCACAATAAAATAAAAAAATACTTATGAAATAATAATTTAAATGTGCCATTTAATTTATCAAACTGGACACAATTTTTCTTTAAGAAGAGAAAATAATTATTTTGGGGGTCAATAAAGCCTCTTTTCCATTGAAAATAGGACTTTAAAGTGTGTTTTTCAATAATGGCATTTGGCTTCCTTCTCGTTGGCAGAAAAAGCTGGTCTAACCCCTCCACAGCTGTGTAGCCTCCGTCTCCCCGCAGCTGTGGCTTAGCAATGATAATGTCATTTGTGCGACAGAAATCAGGAAAGTAAACAATGGAGAGCCACATAGAATGAAGCCAGGACATAATTCATTTGCTTTATTGTTTCACTCTGAATCCCTCTTACCAGCACTGAAGAATAATTTGTTATATGTTTATAAAAAATTAATGTATTTCCATTTTCAATACACACATGGCACATTGAAATAGCTATTTCATAAGTTATGTACTTATTTTATTTTGGCCCTTGCACCCTCCATATTAGAGACCTATATCTAGATATCAAAATAATTATCAGTGGTAAGTTTCCTTTTTTTTCTAAATTTATTTATATATCTGTTTGAGTTGAGAAAGAAAAAAACTGGAAAAAATATTTGAATTTTCCAAATGAAGACATACAAAGTGTTTCAATTTTTTTTCTTTTTTTGGAAAAAATTTTTAAAAAAAAAGCAACGAAGGTAATTTTTTTTTTTTTACAATAAACATAGAAACCGAGCAAAAAAAAAAAAAANAAAAAAAAAAAAAAAAAAATAATAATAATACAAACAAACAAAACAGAAAAGTATCTACATATGAGAATAATAAAAAGCTGGACCTGGGGGCACAAAAGTATCTGTAATACTTTAACCTACCACTAGAGGTCAGGCTTTAACTTAATAAGAAATTAGAAAATGGACCAGATTCTGACTTTACCTCTTGTCTTACACACAATGCATATATCATTAGAATAGAATAGAATAGAATAGAATAGAATAGAATAGAATAGAATAGAATAGGTGACTTAATGAAGGCTGATTGGCTGAGGCTAATTTCTGGGATGGGCAGGATGGGAGACGAGGCGGTTTTTGGGATCCGGATTGGAAATAAAAAATGTGTTAAGTTAGTGTTCAAAAAAACGGAAATTAAAAAGATTCAACTCCGTTATAAAATACTCAATGAATGAGTAAATTTATATAGATCAACTTGTCTTATTTTGTATTAAACTCTATTTAGTTCCCCGAACCATTTTATCAAAGACTATTGTTGCACCATCGTTTGTAGCAAATTAATGATAATTTAAAGAAGTCAGGTACCTTTTTTTCTTTACATTTTCTGAGGTTGATCAGGATTTTTTAATATTTAAAGCTCTCATTTCTCTAGGATATGATGAGTCACTGACCTCCTTCCTGTATTATATTATCGTTGATAAGACAGACAGGAGAATAAGGCAGTTAAACAGAACCTCTCTAGGTGATCATGCCTGGTTATGATCACAAACCTTCTCTGTCTGATCACAGTAAATAATATGATGAGCTTTTATAATCTTCTGGGAGGATTTTCGTCAATTGAAACTCAGATTTAGATCTTTTTTTTAATAAACATTCATGTTTAGTTTGTTATTAAGCAAAGAAGATGTGGAGAAGTGTCTCATGGCCATTCTAAAGTACAGTGAAGTACCTATAATGCTGTGGGGGGTTTTCTTTATTTCTTTCGTCAGTGTTCGTGAGATTAGGATTTTAGAGTTCAATCATGCCATGTTTCCCCCTTTAGGTGCACTGGGTTGTTGCTGAAATGGAAATGACTCTCAGATGTTTACAGGGTGCAGCTTTTATTTTGGTAGTCTCGCGCGGATCCTGCCGGCTCCCTTTGTTCAGCTTGTAGCCTCGCAGAGTGTGGCTGGCAGGCAGGCAGAGGGGGAATCGCCAGGATCTGGGATATATCTGGGAAAAAGGGCAGTCGGTGAACAAACCGGCAGAAAATCCCCGCCGGAGTTGTGAGCAACACCCCGCGGAGAGCTGCGCTCCGTCTCCCCGCTGCTGGCTGCGGGTTTTTCCTCCCAGGAATCTCCTCTGGATCAGACCCTCTCAGTGAGTAGCCTTCATATCCCAGCTTCTGCTCCTTCCTTCAGAAACAACCTGAACGCTGCAGATCTGCTTTGTGCTGCGAACGCATAGAGCCTCATCTTAATTAACAGCACCGCAATAAAAAAAAAAGCCAATTAATGCGGCGGGGCGGCTGCGTGTGAATGCGGGGGAAGGACAGGCAGGGAGGGGGGCACGGAGAAAAGGCTCCCATTCACCTCAGCTGATTTAATGTCTCTGAGTTGCGGCTGCAGATGCGCGGCTGCCTGGGAGCCCTGTGGCTCATTGTGTGGATGTGGGTTTGTTTGGCTCCTGGGCCCCGCGGGGCCGCGGATGGACGCACTAACGTAACGGCCTGGATGTTCGCCGGGAAGCCCGGCTGACAGCCTGCAGCTCCGAGGCTCAGAGGCCGGGCTGGCTGACACAGGCAAGGCGTGGCGTCCTGGCAGCATCACACACACACACACACACACACACACAC